CGCTCGACCGGCCGTACAGCGCATTCGCCATCGCCTACCACTTTGCCTTCGCCCCCGAGGCCCGCGCCGCCGCCCTCCGCTCCCTCCGCCGCCCCTTCCCGCCCTCCACGTCCGGCCGTCCCGCAGGCCTCGACTCCGTCCCCTCCGCCGCCGTGTACGACCTCTTCGTCTACCGCAGCGACGCCGCCGTCGCCGCCCGCGCCTTCGTCTCCGACCACAACGCCATGTGGCGCCGCTACTCCCTGCAGTACGACTTCTGCCCCGGCTGCCGCGCGCCCGACCAGACCCGTCCGCTCTCCAACGCCGGCAAGGTGGCCCCGAAGCAGGCCACCAACGTCAAGAAGGTCGTCGCCCTCGACATGTCCGCATACGCGCGCACCCTCGTCCGCCTCGTCGACACCCTCCCCCCCGCCGACCCCACGATCGACGACGAGCTGTGGGACAACACTTTGCTCCTCCTCGACGCCCGCGACTACCCCTGCATGGCCTGTCGCAGGAACGCCCTGATGCTCTTGCGCCAGTTCCACAAGCATGTCATGCAGCAGCTGCAGGACGCCGTCGCCGCGGTACGCCCGCTGATTTTTCTTTTCCTTCTTCCTTCCGGTACTCACCTCCCGTCCCAGGTCGAACTCAAACTCGCCTTTTAGGTCTTGGTTTTGCGTCAAGGTTCATTTGATCGCTCCATCGGCGATCATCATTCGGTGTTTTCACTGGGGGCTTAACGCCGTCAACTTTAATGCCACTTTATTCGTTGATCCCGTAGACGGACAGATCGACAGACTAATTTATTAGTGCTATCACTGCTCTAATTTCGCTTTGAGGGGATATTCTTCATAGCCATAACGACGCTCTTTTTCTTAAAAATTTGACACATCTCATGTATGACTGCCGCATCACGCAATTTGGGGACGGTATCCGAGGGACCATACATTGTGCTTGTTCGAGTGTTGTCCCATGCTGTCATCAGTATCTTACAAACGGGTTCGATGTTTTGGCTTCTATCTGTCCGTTCTACAACTTCCCCGCGTCCCCCGTCGATCCCCAACCCTTCTCTCCTTCACTCCCAAATGTCTCTGCAAACGCGCCGCCAATCTCGCCGAGCATGTCTTGCGTCACAACACCTGCCAATAAATCCATTAATCTTACATTCGCATAGCCCACGCAGCCTCGCAAGGGGCAGATGGCGCGACGATCGAGGGTGAACCATAATGTTGACGCACCTCGCCCCTCTTTCAAGAATGCTCTCCGTGAGGCCGTGCGAGTCACCATCGAGCCCGCGACGGCCGCCAGGAGGGGGATGCGCGACGCTGGCAGCGAGTTGTCTCCGTATGCGCCGCCCTCGTAGCACTTGCCCCATGCGAGGACCGCGCCCACGGTCCCGCTGAGGATGTCCCCCTGCCCGCCGCAGCGCTTCAGTCCGCCCGGGACGTCCACGCTGAGCTGTTCTTCCGTAGATGCGGTTCCAGAGAGCTACAGCAGGCCGGTTATTCCGGGTCGAGAGAGAGGACAGCGTCCGAAAGACGTACCGCGCTCCCCGTGTCCGTCGCAATGATGTCTTCGGTGCCCTTCTGGAGGATGGTGATCCCGCCGAGCGCGCGGGAGATCCTCATGGCGCGCTCGTTGGCGGGCGCCGCGGGGTCGATGTTCTGCAGACGTCAAAAATCACAGAGGCCTCAGCACGCGTGCGCCGGCGCCATGCGCGGAGGAGGAGGAGGAGGAGGGGGGGCACTGACGACGCTCTCGCACAGACGCTTGAACTCGACTACGTTCGGGGTGAGCACGGCCTTGCGGTACCCGCGCACGAGGCCGGGGTCGCGGCCGACCAGCCAGAGCGCGTCCGCGTCGAGGACGACGTACATGTCCTGCAGGGGCCGGGCCCGTCAGTGTCAGCGCCCACACGCCGCACGGACCGCGCGCACCTGCTCCTTGGCGAGGGACAGCGCGAGCTGCGCGAACGCCTGCATGTAGTCCTCGCGCCCGAGGCCGGGGCCGATGACGAGCACGTGGAGACGCTCCAGCAGCGACGCGAGGGCGGGGCGGAGGTCGGCCGGGGACCTGGCGGGGCGTGAGCATGGGGAGTGGGGGAGCCGGGCGGGGACTCACTGGTCTTCGCGGAGGATGGGGTGCACGATGAGGTCGGGGGAGTAGGACTTGATCGCGCCGGCGGCGGTGGGGGAGCAGATGACGTGCGAGAGGTCGGCGCCGATGCGCAGCGCGGACATGGACGCGAAGAAGGGCGCGCCGGTGTAGCTGCGGGCAGTGAGCGGGCGGGACGGCGGGCGGCGGGGCGGGCGTACTCGAGGGCTCCGCCGAGGACACCGACGCGGCCGGACTGGCCCTTGTGGAGGGTGCCGTTGAGAGGCGGGATGAGCTGCTTGATCTGCTCGAGGACTTTGCGCGGGACTGGCATTGCAGATGGCTGTTTGTGTGCAGACGTTGGAGGGATATGTCGTCGTGGGATAAGCAGGAGGGAGAGCGGTCACTCGCTCTGCGTCATGCTCCCGCAAACGGGTTAGGGTCACAACGTCATGTCCTGTCACAGAGTGACGTGACACGTTACCCCTGTATGTCACGACTGGGCTGCTCCCAGTCTCAATATTGAATCCGTGTTGCTGAGTCTCTCATGTTCGCTGCGTCTCTTGTTCTGACAAAAGTGCGCCAATCATACCGCATCTGTTGATAATTCTGCGCTTTCCCAGCAGATGTGAGGGCATTGACTGGAAATATGAATAAATACCGAGGGCCTTGCGAACGTTTACTTGCATGGACGGCCGAATAGAACGCGGATATAGTAAGACAGCTCGATATCATGGTGAGTGCAGCCTTGATTCCTGTTTACTCTCAGGCTTCAGCCTATGGCTGTGGTTCAACGTTCTCAGGTATTCGGTCCGATCTTGTCAGTTTGTTCCCGGATGATTCACGGACTGTGTAGTAGGGAACAATACGACGCTTAGGTTTGACAGACATCTTTCGCCATTGGCCCCACTTCGCAAAACACGAGGCGACAAGCATCTGTCATATCGAGGACGACAAATTACAATGTAAAATCACAACACGAGGCGACAAGCATCCATCATACCGAGGACGACAATTGCTCTAGACTTGCGCGTGGTAATGGACCACATTCTCATGTTGGGTTGTATCCAGATCGGGGACACACCCCTCACGAGGTCATCGGGTCCTTTTCCTGGTCAAATTGCGAGCGCTCTATCTATTGCAGGATGGTATGTGGGTTTGGTACAAGTACCTACCACAGGGCACAATCTCTTCCGCCTCTAACCACCACGTCTCCCCATAAAGGGACAGATATCTGGTATCGTCTCACCAGAGATTGAGTTCCTCAGGTCGGTCTCCTTATACCCCCGTTACTTCCCCTCCAAGCATGACATTCCGTCCTGTAACTGCACACGAAACAATGGCAATGGAGAGAGCCACAAACCATCCCTTCACCCGCCCCACCGCAGACGTTACAGTCACGTCCGCCGACTCTGTGAACTTCCGTGTCCATATGGCTATACTTTCCGAGGCATCGCCCGTCTTTGCCAAGATGTTTAGCCAACCCCACAAATTGGCGAAAACCGCACATCCAGCATTTTCCGTCGCAGAGGACAGTGCTACACTCGAAGCTCTGTTTCGACTTTGCTATCCCATTCGCGATCCTACACTCGGCACGCTTCGGGAGGTCTGCGCTACACTCATCGCCGCGCTCAAATACCAGATGGCCGAGGCGGTAGAAGTGCTCCGCGCGAGATTCGTGTCATTAGCGCCTAGCGATCCGCTATGGGCGTACACTGCCGCGTGTCATCTTGCGCTCGAGGACGCCGCCCGCGCTGCAGCAGTTGAAATCTGCAATCAAGGCTTGTGGGACGCAGCCCTACGACCCTGCAGCAGCCCTGATTTTCGGCAGTACTCGGCGAGTGCCGTCCTGCGCCTGATGGTCTTTTGTCTGAAGACTGGAAAGAAGAAAGAAGGGTTTACGTTCTTGCGTCCCAAGAGACATCGTTCGCCGGATACGGGAAACAGGGGAATAGCTCGCAACGCCATCCAAAAGGCGCCTTATCCGTTCGATACAGATTCGGCGGACTTGATTTTGCGTAGCTCGGATCGAGTCGACTTCCACGTGCACAAAGCCATCATAGACATGGCTTCTTCACTCATCTCGAGGATGGCGTCCTATTCCGGATTCGCGCAGAACTGGGGCACTGCTCCGGGTCGACAGGAAGCATGGGCGGACGATCTTCCGGTCGTACATCTCGGCGAGTCGGGCGATACGCTCGCCGCCCTCTTGCACATCTACTATCCGGCCAGGACGCGCTCCCCACGAACGTGGAGGACGTCCTCTCCGCGCTCACCGCCGCGAGGAAATATGGGATGGCCAAAGCCACAGACCTCCTCGCAGCGCAACTGCTATCGCTCCCCATCGTGCCCCTGCACGCGTTCCTCATCGCGTGCCGGCTCAACATGCGCGCCCACGCGCTCAAGGCGGCCCGGCGCACGCTCAGCCAGAAAGAAGCGTTCCTCCTCATATACCACCCCGAGATGGAAGATGCGCCCGCGGAGACCTACCAGCGTCTGCGCCTTTTCTACACCGGCGCCGGCGCGCAGCTCGACGAGTTCCTCTGCGCGTATGTCGCCCCTCCCGAAGCGCTGCGCGCGCGCCTTTGGCGGGCGTGTCTTTCTCCCCGCGGTCGGATCCGCGCGCCGCCGCGATCGCTGATGCTGGACGACTGGCCGGCGAGACAGGCGGAGATGTCGGTGGCCTGCTGGTTCAGCGCGTACGTGGAGGAGCTCCTGTGGAAGCTCCGCGAGGGCATGCCGCCGCTGGGTGCCGCAAAGGCGCCGTCGGTGCTGCATGGTGCGATGGCGGCAGCTGCTGAGAGAGGTGCGTGTAGCGCATGTCGGGGCTCAGGAGGGCTCGCGCTGATGATGGAGTTTGCCGAGTTTCTGTCTGGGGAGATTACGGTTGTCATTGATCGGGTGAGTCCTGTGCCCTTCGTCGGCGGCTGAACTCATTTCATGCTCAGTACACGCAAGGATATGATTGGGGGGCAATATTTGGTGACCTTGCGAACGTTTGATTCGTCCGACATCCATTGACTCCTGCCTAGTGAGTGACCATCTGTATGTTGTTCTGTCGCTATGTATCGTAGGGTACCTGAGATATATATTTTATGTTTCTATTTATCCTTTGCGTTGTATCATGCCGTTGATTCTACAAAGAAGTTGCCAAGCATCATCAGATGCAGCGACTAGCCCAAAGATGCGAATCATTTGCAAACTGGACATAATATGACAAAAGTGCTCACAGAGTCCAAGTAAACGCAAATACAGGAAGAAATACATGCACCGTTTCGCCGCCTGCCAAGTAGTAAAAGCTTGAAGTATACATGCATTTTGAGACCAGAATAGTGCATTCTGTTGCTCTAATGTTCTATCGCTGAAGGCATGACAGAAGATACACTATGATTGGGATTTAGGTTTGACTAGAGCTAGAAGACGGTCGCAACTATGCGGACCCATGGTGTTCTTAAGCACATCAACAACCGTGAGCGGGTGAGCAAATATCCTCTACTTCCTCTATCAGAGCTGCCTAAATAGGTTCGCAATCATAGGGTTGTGCTACCTGCGTTATAACGAGCTGATCGACAACTCCCTGGAGTCCCTGCGAGAGCACGCCAACAGAGTCCGGATGGACATGAAACTCCGCACACGTAAGAGCAGCATCGTGCACCTTGCGAGCGCATAGTACTGATAAAATTATAGGCAGTGCGTCATAGAGGCCCGGGATGTCCTCATTTTCATATACAGTGAGATGGCTCAAAGAGGGACAGACAGAAAAATGACCGTGTGTGCTTCCCATGGGGATGACATGCCCGACAGCTTCAAATATGCCCGCTCCGTCGCTGGACCAATTCTGGAGACAAAGCGACATCAAGGATGGCACCAACCCGAGGATATTCAACCAGTCTCTGTCGGAGAGGATGAGGCGAGATCCCGTGATAGTCAAGCTCCGCAAGGTAGGGAACGAGACAACATCTCCGATGTGGGCCAAGTATATGGAATCACGGGGGTCATCGACTGACCTTGAGGACCATTCCCATTGCACTGCAAAATTTGCCTTGCTCGACGAGATTGTGATCCGATAGTCTATCAAGGAAAGCATGTCTAGAGTGGCGTCATTCACACTGTGAATGATATCACACAGGGCATCACAACCGTCAGTATAACGAATGTAGGACGAGGATATCATATGATCCACGAAGGCCAGTCCGATCCTGGTCGTCGTTGGAAATGCCATTTGGGTCAGTATTTCTGCCACTGGTCCATGGTGACCGAAAAGAGTCAGCTGGGTGAGCTGAGGAAGATCGACTACAGAAGTATCTGTCGCCGGGGCCAGGATACGTGTATGATTCGATAGGCCAAACGTCAAAATGCGCAAATCCGGGCAACGCCGCAGCATCCGCTTGAGATCGTTCATCGAGCTGAGTCGCTGGTTCTTCAGTACAATCTCGGTCAATCCTGCGTAAAACATCCAAGGAACCGAGATATCGAGCATTTGTACTGAGCGAAGGGACGGCGTGCCGTTGGCGAACAGGGAGGGGATATCACAGAGACGCGTTGAAGTACTGTAGATTCTTGCGGATAACGAAATAGTCTTCATTCTCCCAGCTGCGCAATTGGTAAATGGGGCCAAAACTTCCACCATCTTTCCAGGACTCATTCCTTCAACACTGAAGGATGAAATCCGCACGCTATGAAGTGAAACCATGGAAGTCAAGCAGACGAATGATTCTATCCCGGAGGTCGTCACCCGCCCTTCGATGCGGACAGTCAAATCTATGTCCCGCGACCGCTTGAGGAACAATTCCAGCAGAGGTCTACGGGTACGCCTAGTGAGCACTATCTCCTTCCAAAGACTCGGAGCAGAAAAGGCTACGTGTCTCCATTGGCGGCACACAGCGGTGATCGAGAACCACGTAGTGCCCTCGCGGAATGCATGACAGCTGTCGAGTGGGGACCGAAAGGAGCTCGCAACAAGGAGAGAAAATATGTCGTAGATGATGTCTTCATTCAGCCGATGTATGGCGGCCATGGCACAGACAAGGTCCGAATACCACCTAGAAATGTCCTAGGTTCATCATACTAGAACTACATTAAGATAGACATGCGATAGAACGTACCTACCCTCAAGTTTCGCGTTGCAGAGCGATCAAACCGAACGGGCTACACCTTCAGTAAACAGATGGTCGATGAACCTAGAAAGTAGGATCTTCACCTTGTCAAGAATCCTAGGTCGTGCGCTCTGTGACGAGCAATTGTCATAAACCTAAGATCGTCTTGCTATCGCCCAATACAGAAGACTCTTGAAACTTGAAGCCTAGGTTGGGTTTAGCTGTCGACTGATTGCGAGGTGGTCTCTAGCTTGAAGAATAGACAAACGGATCGTGGTCAAGACAGTGTTGAGGCTGAGGCGGTGTGTTGAAAACTTCAGTGTGATTGACGAACGACTGTACTGAATGATATGGGGACGAATCCATTTCGTAATCATGTACAATCAAGTAGAAGTTGTAATCATCATCTTTTGTTGACAGTTGCAGCATCTCTTGATACCCTTCTTTCTGAGACAGAACAATGAGCGACGATGGTAGAAATTGAGTTGAGACGGGTCATGATACACTCTAGCACCGTAGCAAACGCAATCAATCAAGAGCATTCATTAGAGAATACAAGCTCACAGCAGACTTGGGCCAGATTCTCATTCCCACAATGATAACAATAGCAAACTCAAAGCCCCACATTCAGATGTATCCTCAATCAGCATTCTATTCGAAGTCAACAGACATACGATATCAATAGTGCATACGACGGATCTATGATTAGGAACTCGGAAAGGCCATGATCATACTGCCAGCGGTTACCTTCCAGCTGAGACGATGAAAGCAGATAAAACAATGTGATAGTACAGGTATGTGATTATGCGAGCCGACCATGTCGTAAGTGAGAAATGCAAATGGGCAGACGAGAACAAGGGAGCAAGAGATTTCATGCCTTGGCCTTGCGACCATACTTGCGCCTGTACTTGGCGTCGATGCCCTCGAGATAATAGCCACCCGGCCAGATGTTATCCAGCGAGCCCTCCGGTGTATACGACCCCGCATTGTGGTTTTTCTCGCGAAGCTGCATCACCAAGCCAATCAGCTTATGAACAAGTAACGTTGAAGATACACTTACTTGAAGCGCGTCCACGTATTGCTGGCATGGGACAACCTCCATACTCGAGAGACGACTGATGAGATCCATCTTCTCCCTAATCGAGGTCGTGTCGCCCTTGACGCGGATCGTGTAGAAGCTACTCGCCAGACCACTGCCAAACGCAAACATGCTGATACGCTTGCCACGGAGCTCAGTAGGCTCAATACTAGCAAGGAGTGATGCAAGGCCACCGTACAGCGACGCAGTGTACATGTTGCCACAACGACGTGCACAGCGCATGGAATGTTCGACAGTCGACTCGAATTCCTTCTTCGCAACACTCATGAACGTTTTCTCGAGGGTCTTGTCAGTCAAGGACTCCTTGTACGGTTGAGCAAGAATAGCCTCAGGGTTAGGAACAGAGGCATATTTGGGAGATGTGGGGTTCGCCATGAAATCGTTGTAGACCTATCGCAAGGAACTATGAATAGGCAGATACTCGATAATTCATAGGACGACATACGAGACGAGCGTGGGCCTTCTGAACCATCTTGCCATACGGGCTGTGGAACACAGGATAGTCGACGTCTTCAAGTGAAAACGCCGCAAGCGATGACGCATCACCGTTGCCACTCAGGCTCGCAACCTTCTTCGCTCTAGCGTGTTTTCTGCGGAAAGCCGAATAAGCCGCATCAATGGCGGAGACGTAGGTTGTAATGGAAAGTGGGCCATCGACCTCTGGATACTCGGAGTCTAACTTGGGCTTGTAGAAGTCGTATGTATTCACCATGTGAGTTCCATGGATAGCTGTATTAATGAAAATTAGCCATGTGAATGAAACGCCGGTGGGAAGATCAAACGGCAACTAAGAAACAAATCAGGTAGCAATACTCACGTTCGAAAACGAGCGGAGCGTTAGGTCCGATCAGCATCGCACAAGCGCCAGCACCTCCGGTGGGTCGGCCACTGCCTTCGGCGTAGATTGCAATGTCACCGCCGACGACAATAGCGTTCCTACCATCCCAGGAAGACGACTCAACCCAGTTGATAGAGTTGAAGAGAGCCGCAGTGGACCCATAGCAGGCGTTTTTGGAATCGACACCCTCAATGTCTGTATTGCCCGCCTCAGCAAAGAGATCCATGAGAACGGTCTTAGTGGCCTTCGACTTGTCGATGATAGTTTCCGTGCCGACATCAATACGACCAATAGACTTGGGATCAATGTCATACTTCTCAAGCAAGTTGGCAACGGCTGTGGTATAACACTGTCAGACGACCATTTTGAAACGAAAGTTCAACACCACATACCAGTTAGCGCAAACGTGTTGATATCTTCACGATCATCACAGCATGCCATGAACTTTTGGCCAAGGCCAATGGTGTATTTGCCCTTCGCCACGCCATCGAACTCCTCCAGCTCATCCTCAGAAATACACTGGTGTGATAGAGGTTAGGGTAGTGTCCAGGAGTCCAACTACAGTCGACTCACCCTCTGGGGGAAGTACATCTCCATAGCGAGGATACCAACATCTTTGGGACGCGGCGGTGCCTCAATGTCATCACGGACAACAGTAGAGCCGTTCAAGGGGATAGTCATGGTTGTGAGTACGGGGGGGGGTGAATAGGAACAGCAGGCTGGAGCAAAGGAGGGCGTTGGAGAAGGAGAGAAGGAGATATCAGCAAATATATAGAAAATCAGAGATGAGACGAGGAACCATAAATTCTTTTTCGCGAGTAGCGGTGGTACGACCGCTTGCAGCATGTCTCGTCTTGCGCATCCTGATTGGCTATCGCCTGTCTGATATATGCGGGGCGCTTAGAATAGACTAGTCCCATCAGTTCACTGCAAGTGTCCTCCACTGTCAGGATATCCGCTCACCTGCGTTTGCAAAGTCCCGTTTCATCCTAGTCGTCTCGTCATCGTTCAACGACCTGTGCTCACCACTGTTTCTCGAGGCGCTGCTGCCGGCGGCGAGGAGCTACTTGTCACGCGCTCGTCGAGAGCGCCGGCGTAGTGTCTCGCCTGGTCTCCGAGCGGAATGCACTCAAACGGCAGGGTGTCCATTCTTGTACTCTGCCGTCCATGCTGCTGCGTGTCCTGGAACCTGGATTGCTTCCCGTATCGTCTTCACCTTCTCTGCAACTGTTGTAAGTACACTGATCCCTATCTTTGACTGCTGACAATGTGAATGGACGATAGGCGCGGCACTACCCAAGTCCGACTGCCGCAGTACGAGCGACAGCTCAGAACATTTGTTGTCGGCTTTGCACACAGCAGGGCCTGGACTACCATTTACAGCGTTTTGGTTTCTGACTGCCTCGACTGTCGAGCAGTGATATTCTCTCACTGAAGGCTTCGGTGACCTAGGCACGGGAATAAGCCGTTCTGGTGTCAAGGCCTCCACCAGTCGCGGCTTCTACACGGTATCAATATCCGAAGGAAAATCTACCAGACATCGGTATCCGGGTTCACCTTATCTGCATATTGTACCAGCGGTTCACATACACGATCGCAGTATCAAGTCGTACGATCTCCAGTTGGTGTGTCCGTTATCGGTCGGCATTAAGTATTTAGTGGTCTCCACGCGCGTTATTATCTTCCCTAACGTCAACCGTGAGCTTCTATTATCTCTTGTGTTTTTTGACGCTAAGCAATTTGCCGACGGCGTTTCCTGACACGATACGCGCTGCAAATTCATGCTCATGACAGCGTGCTCCTCAAATTCAATGAGCTTCTCACAGGTATATTTGTACATCTTCTGCCACTGACAAAGTGTAATGTGCTTGCTAAGAAATATGTTTACTTCGTGCCCACTATGTCGCCTCTGGCTCTCTGTCGAATGAAATTGCGGCTCTTATTGGTTTCACCCACTGAATGAATCTTGCAGCCGTTCGTTATGCAATGCACTAGTAGATTCAACAGAATCTGTGGCAGGTCTGGAGTCGAGTGACCAGACCCTGATGATCTCTGATACATGGAAGGGAGGTTTAACAGCCGACACAGTTCTGGTAATCCGACACGCAAATGCCACACACTATCGATGAGTTGAACGCAAAACTGCGTTCCGAGTTACATCGCGCATCAGCACAAGGTGGTCATGCGTTGAATCTCGAGTGATATGCTGTGAGGCAGCGTGCGTGCGTAGGGGATACAGTGTCCGGGGCGACGTGGTATAGGTGCATATAAGTGGGGCATACGGCTGGAGGAGGATTGGAAATTGCAGCGCATATTATACTACTTGCTTACGCTACTGAGTGTAGTAGCCATCAAATCAAGTCAAGTTGAACCTGCCTGAATGGTATAGAGAATGCGATAGTCTTGACCAGAAAGAACCACTCGAGATGTGGCCACATCTACCTTTTTTACCGAAAGTCGTATAGTCTGAGGCCGGAATAATGTCGTGATGCAAGCTGGTCGCAAATCCAGTGGCAGATGCGTCTGAAAGCCGGAAAGAGGAACTCAAGTTAATCCGATCAGCCAGAATGAAACAGATTATGTAGACTGATCCTAGAACGTTATCATTTACCATTCATTAAGTCGTTTTAAATATTAAATATGTCTAATGACGCATGCTCGGCCCCGCGATGCCGTCACGACTTGTCCTCAGGCTGCAGTCGAACCCTTAGCCTCCGCAGAACTACACTAGAGACTCTCTATAACTCCTCTTATTTGAACCTACTCGAGCGGAAATTTTGATACACCTCATTCCGGTCTGGCTGCCACTTATTTTCTATCCAGCATTCTACACCTGGAGGTCTCGCAAGTCTCATGGAATCAGCATCTTCGGAGGAGGTCGATGTTCGTAACTCGCTAGAAGATCTGCAAATTGGCGAGGGGACCCAGAACTTTCCGGCCACAACCTCGGAATCAAATCCATGGCTTGAATCATCTGGGCTTGATGCGTCTATAACAGACAGCGAGTCTGTGCACAGCCGAGAATTACATACGCCTGATCCTGCATCGCTGGATTCGTCAACTACGATGGGCCTCGCGGCTGAAACTGAAGAAAGCGGGGTACGTCCAAGTCGTGAGATCTTGTTAGAATTCGATCCTCTCGCGACTCCTGAGGAAAGCGCTGCGCGCGAGGCATGGGCTGAATCTGAGGCACATCCGCCTCCTGCAAATGGCCCTAGCCAGATAGAATCTACAGATGTTCTAACGGAGACTGCTCAAAATGCGGCCCAGGATCCTCAGCCGCTGCTACCTAATCGGCCATCGTCTCCAGCTCTCGCCTTCCCTTCGCTTGCGGCACTTGCGCGTACTTTCTCCATCCCGTTGGGAAATCGTAATCAGCGGCCTCGTTCACTTGACATAGCCGCATCTGTTCCCTCGCCCGCCACTCTATCATCTTTTGCCCACCAACAATCCGCCCCGCCGACACGAACGACGATGGAGAACGCCTCAAATGAGAGCACGCCCGGCAGTGGAAGTGGGCGAAGTACTCCAGGCATCAAGGATGGAGGAAGGGATACAGATCGCGAAAGCCCCCCATTTGACTTCCAAAGATTTTTGGACCAAATGAAGACACGGAGTGCGGAGCCCGTAGCGAAGTACCTCCGGTCGTATGTTAGTGCCATTGTCTGTCTTCATTACGTTGCTCACAGGGGCTTCTTCTCGGCTCTTCCTTTTTCAGGTTCTTGAGCAATTTTGCCAAAAGGACGTTCACTGTGGCTGATCAGGTCAAATTAATCAACGACTTTCTGAGTGTGAGTTATCCATACTATATGCAGCAGATTCCCCGCACCAACCCTTCTGTCTCAGTTTATTTCTGAGCGTATGCGTGAAACAGACATCTGGCGTAATGCCTCCGACGCGGAATTCGACAATGCGATGGAAGGAATGGAGAAGCTGGTAATGAACAGGCTATACGACTTGTATGTTCCATTATTTGTGACGTTCCGTTCGTCATCAATAATAGTTGGGCTGCACAGTGCATTTACACCGCAGGCAGCACGTATGGTTCCGCCGCGACCGGTTACAGTAGATGATCTCGAGAGAGATCGTGTACTATCTCAGCGCATCGCACTCTTCCGTTGGATCGAGCCTAAACACTTGGATGTACCCGAAGGCGAAGGCAGCGAGGGATTCATGATGTTTGCTCAACAAGGTTTGTGAAATAGTCATCGCCGCAAAACTCCTTGTGGTTTTCCTGTTACTCCTATTGGATAATCCTGACAGGCATCATTCAGAACTACTCAAAATCAACCACTACAAGGCTCCGCGCGATAAATTGATCTGTGTACTCAATTGTTGCAAGGTTATCTTTGGTCCGCCCTCTGCTATATACCCTACGCGTTGGTATTTATCCGGTTATCTCTGCAATAGGATTGATACGTCATTTACGCAAAGAAGAGGGCGCCGACACATTCGTGCCTATCCTGATTTATGTCGTTCTGAAGGCAAATCCGCCCCATCTGTTGTCCAACGTCGAGTGAGAAGTTTCTTACGTTATGATGATCAACTCACTTAATGTAATTGAGACAGGTTCATCAATCGCTTCCGTAATCCGTCTAAATTGCAGAGTGAGGCAGGTTACTACTTGTCCAGTCTTGTAAGCAAATATGACGATCTTTTACGAACGCATCTGATATTGGCATTTCGCAGATGGGAGCAGTTTCCTTCGTAGAAACCTTGGACCATACTTCTCTGTCCAACATCACACAGGAGGAATTTGAGAGGTCTGCTACTTCAAACAGTACTGATTGGTGCATGCACTCACTGGTAATGATACAGCAACGTCGAAGAAGTCATCCAATCGCTACCGAGTAGTGAATCTGAGACGCCTGAATCAACAACACCCCCGCTAGCCGCATCTCATCCCACATTGTCTTCTTCCTTACAATCACCGCACTCAGGAGAAGAGTCAGCGCAACCCCTGGCGTTGCCAACACCTGCCCAAGCGTTTGGTGAAGATGCGCGCCGGTTCCTTCAGAAAACTGGCGACACAATATCCAAGCCGCTCAGTGCCATCAGTCGAATATTCAACGAGGTCCTAGACAATGCCGAAGAGTCGTTTTCATCAATCCCTTCGCCTTTCACGCCAAATGAGCCACGCAATCGGCAAGAATATCAATATCAGCTGGAACAAGACCACCAACTTGCGCGTGCTTTGAGCTTGGATATTCCACAGACACCGATCGGAGTGGGAGAGGGTGATCAGCACGCAGGCCGGCCTAGCGCGTTGTTACAGACGCCATACAAACCCCGTGTTCGACGGGTGCCTTCGCCTCTATCATCCGCTCGCTCAGCTTCTGGCTCGTTCCAGTTTGGATCGCCCGGCGGGGAAGACACACCGACTGGACATCGTGGGACGAGCTCTGGACCATACACAAACCAGGCCCTTGCAATGGGAGCAGCTCAGAGCGTTGCTTCAACGGTTCACTCGAGGCCTGGCTCTCGGGACCTCCGTCCACAGTCGGCACATGTATCGCGAACACCCACGCCAAATCTCGACTTGGCTG